GCTTATATATAAAATCACTTCTTAAAGCTCTTAAAAGGAGTTGAAGAGAATGAACCCTTGCGCCGTCGTCGTCGCTCGCTCGGCTCAGCTTCGGCTTCGCCTTCGGTTTTTGGACAAAATTTATTTATTTATTTAATAATTAATTAAATGCCAAATCACTGCTGAAAATACGCCAGAACCCTGCTGAAGGTTCAGAGGGCCTCTCTGGCCGCGGTTCTGCCGCGACCGCAGTAGAACCGCAGCAGGTAGGTTTAGAAAGCCTCTCTGACCGCGGTTCTGCCGCGACCGCGGTAGAACCGTGGCAGGCAGCGTATTCTTCTGAAAAGGCACCTTTTCCAGACACCTCTTCTGATAATTGCCTATAAATTCTGAGGCAAGGCTCCATTTTCTATACACGAAAAACACTCCAGAACTTCTTTCTTTCTGAATATACTGCATTCTAATTCGCAGTCTCTCTCTCTCAAATTCGTAAGTGTGATTTTGCTCCGTTCTTTAAGTTCGTTGGTATCCTGCAGTTTGTATTGCCACTGTTGCAGGAAGATTTATTCCGTTTTATCCTGGAAGGATTTAATCCATTACCTTGGCAACGTGTGAGGGGGTTAAAATTCCTTAAGGACACACAAGCAAATTGTGGACTCGGAATATTTCTTAAACTCTACTATTTTTTCAGATTTCTTTAATTCTTCTAACAGTTTTGTTTTCCTAATTTTGTGTTTTAACACAGTAACGCTCACACCAGCCACCCTTCCCTTCCTTATTTCTTTTAAAAATTCATAGATAAACCCTAACTAATTAACTTCTATCAAGATTGAGATACTTGTATCAAGGTAGCCACATGAATTTCGTTTGTTAAGTTTGACAAATAAGGTGTATATGTAATACTATTTACTAAGTCATTTTGAAACGAACAATTAACAAAGGACATGGATGGTATATTTGGACTTTTTCTCATACTTCTTTTGAGTAACTCCCTATATTTATCCTAAAGATTCAGCTAATAGATATAGTGCTGACAATATAATTCGGGGAAGCTTTGGTGAGATGGGTTATTTGATGAAAAAATGATATTGAATAGCCGTTATCAAAATAATAGTCGAAAATATATATATATTTTGTATATATATACATTCAGTATGTTATATACAAAAAAATAAACAAATTTTATATATTTTTTTTAGCTACGGAATGTAAATAATTTCTGACGCGTACTAAAAGTGAAATTTGGTCTCAAGTCTCTTGTATTCTGGTACTCTTACATGTGATAAGGCTTCAATAATCGCTAGTTTAATTATTTGGATATGATCATGAATAGCTGAAGGAAAAAAGAAAAATTATCAAAGTGGACTAATGTACAAAAGTTACTATTATAAGGGTTTTTTTTGTTTTACTTTGCTGTATAGTTTCATACCCCAAGATAACCTCTCGGTTAAAGCATAAAAGGGTGCAAGAAACAAGGGTGTTTTTTAAAATTAGCAAACAAGAGTACGCATTAATTAATCAGGTCATTAGTTTGTCTAACTAGTGCTTCATGAGTTGTGTTTGTCTGTCTAATTAAACCTAATTAATCATTTTTTGGCCGATTTGAAAATAAAGGATCCGTTTCGCCATAGATTTAGCCAAAATAATCTTGAATTTTATTTGGTAAACACATGTTTGACCATAGATTTTGCCTATATTTTGACAAAATTCCAAATCCTCAATCCCAAAACCATCTCAATAGCTGGTTTTGGGCCAAAATATTTACAAACACTAAGCTAGCGTTTGGCCATATATTTCAAATTTGTTTTGAAAAATCTGATTTGGGTAAAATTTGATTTGAAGATGAAAATGTGTTTGGACATACGTTTTCAAAACATATTTCTCAATGGAAAAAACATGTATATAATTCCCCAAGTTTTGGGGTTTTGGCCCAAAATCAACAATTTGGGTGATTTTGGGATTTGGGGTTTGAGATTTGGGATTTTGCCAAAATGTGGGCAAAATTTATGGCCAAACATGAGTTTTGAACATAAATCCCAAAATTATTTTGGCAAAACTCATGGCCAAACGGGGCCTAATAATATACATGTTTTTTTAAAATAAATTTGGAAAACATGTTTTGAATACGTATGTCTCATATTCAAACCAAACTTCACCTAAATTAGATTTTTCAAAATAAATTTGGGAATCTATGGCCAAACGCTAGCAATACTTTCAAATCCCAAAAACAATTCTAGAGTAGTTTTTGAAGTTTTCTTTCACAAAACTTCAAATAATTTTCAAGTAAATATGTATGTCCAAACACAATTTCAATTGTCAAAACTATTTTTTATCTCAGCTTCAATTTTTTTTTTTCGAGTTTTACCAAATTTATGTTTAAATGCTAGCTAATTTCTTTCTTCTTAAAGGCATTAAGTTCAAATTTCACAAGTAAATATATGGTTGCTTAAAAAAAATGTTTAAAAGTTCAGAGGCAAACCAATTTTACTATTACTTGTTGGGTTGTTTCCCCAACTTTCTCGTGGACTTTCGACTGCTGCTCATTTCAATCTTTCAGAAAAGCTTAACAAATAGTAAATTCGACAAGAGGGGTTGCTCAGAGGTTGTGAGTTCGAGTTTCCCCAAGAGCAAAGTAGGAAGTTCTTGGAGGGAATGATGCCAGAGGTCTATTTGGCAACAACCTCTCTAAGAAAACTCTATCACTAATCTAAATATTCTTGAGTGGCTAATGGATGTAATTCTTCCACAATTGCATCATTTTGATCTGCACGAATATTAATAATCCTTGCGATTATTCAGCCAATGGACGGTAACTTTTGGCCTTTCATTGGGAATTTGGGATTATGATTTATGGTTATGTTCACAAGGGAGATAAAGTGCTTTCTATCAAATATTTTTTATTTTTTATTTTTATGGTTCGAATTTGAGACCTTTAATTTCAGGTAAATGAATTTCAACTATTTCATCGCACCTCTCCTATGTTTAATTAATAAGTGCCTAAAGCAGATGTAAACTTATGATTTAAAATTTATGAGATTTAATAGTAATTTCATGGTTAATATGCAATAATAACTAGAGATACGTGACTTCATAACTAGGGGTGACTCTAAAAGCTTGGCCGGTGAGGCTATTGCCTTAGGCACCCAAAATTTGAATGTCCCAAATTTACTTAATCTCTTATTATTATGACTACTATACTATAGAATTTATATAAATAATTATTATAAAGAAGTGTTATAGTATTTTTTTTGTTTATTTGATTGAGTTATTTTATACCAATAAGTTCATAAATTATGATAATTTTTACACTCATTAATTAGTATATTTGCTTCACTTTTCAATTTTAATTTTATCATTTTTATATAGGAATTAAGATATATATATATATATATATATATATATATATATATATATATATATACAACATAATGAATTTCATTTGCATCTTCTTTGAAACTGCATGAATACAAAAGCATTTATGCACCGGGTTTCTTTTAGTACAATTCAACATATTATATTAGGTTATTTATAATTAATCTGAGATATTCACCAGTAAGTGCTACTAATTAATAGAATGAACTATAATTATCGTTTAAATTGATCAGAATGAGTAAATATTTTTAACAGTGTCAATGCTCAAAACTTAAGATATTACGTTATTTACGTTTATTTCTTTTTCTTGATTATGATGATAGCCAAATCAAAATTTTCACTTTGAGTTCTGGACCTTAGCATCCGATAATCCACCACTTCATTGTGCTCTTCTTCCTTTTTTTTTTTTTTTTTGAAATTCACTGTTTTTGTCTTAAATGATTAATTTGCTGTTTAGAAAACAAATTTTGTTGCTAGTGTAAATCTTTTATAAATTAAATTTAAAGGCCTCTCAATACGGTTTCGCCTTAGGCCACAAAAACTATTGAGCCGCCCAGGTTTATAACATATACGCTAGGTCCGTCCCATCTTTATACAATAGTCGGTCGGATCACTGTTTATTTTTCATAGTCGGTATGCATACATGATACACTGATTATGCATAATTATTCATATATTATACATCCGTTGTCTATTTTTAATTTAAACGATTGGGTACGCGGCTGTTTATATTTTTTTTTTAAAAATCATTTTTAAAGTTGACAGAAATATATTCTTTGACTTGCCTAGCGAAGACAAGATGCTAGGTTGCTCCGACCTAATTTACCAAGATACGAGAATCAAAGGACAAAATGAAGTGCTAAAAAAAAAGCAAAAAATAACATGTAAGGCAGCTCATTCAAGAAGAGTTCCATTAATTTAGGGTTTAAGCTCTCAACACAAGGAGATTGACAAATTTTTGTTTATGAAGACGCGGGAACAGCGCCCACGTTCTCAGGATTAAAAAGAATTTAAATTTTATTTGTAATTTTTTTTGATAAATACTACTAATTGATTATCTAGTAAATATGATAACTTAGTTGCTATCATAAGTTAAAATTTATTGATAGTGCAAAAGAAAAATTATATATATAACTTAAACCCTAATATAAATAGAATTAAATTATATCTAGTGACAGTAGAGTTAAAATTTCATAAAACCAATGGAATTAAACTTGCGGTAACAAGTTATTTGCCTTATCCTTCATGTAACTAATTTCACTTATTATTGATCAATAGGTAACTCCAAATACCTATTATGGTGATATTAATATTGTCTCCTTTTTTATTTTTTTTTATTTTTTTGAGCCGAGAGTCTTTAGGAAACAACCTCTCTACTCCTTCGGGGTAGGGGTAAGGTCTGCGTACACACTATCCTCCCCAGACCCCATTAGTGAAATTTTACAGGGTTGTTGTTGTTATTGTTGTTGTAACTCCAAATACCTTTAAAGTGACTTGATACTGTACAAATTTCTACGCTATCCATGTATAAAAGTTGAACCATATATATAAACTATAATTGAACGAAGTAGACAAAATGTTGTGTATGTACCCAAGGAATAATATATTTCATTTCCTCTCTTGTGATTCTCCTTAAATACACTAATATCCATAACATAGTTTCTCTCTTTCTCCAATCAGAGGCTCAACAACCTATTGTCCATTGCTTAAGTGGTGAAACTTGAGAGAATAACTTTTTATGTGATTATTATGGTAAGCTATTGGCTCCAATTCTTCACCTTCTATATATATATATATATATATATATGATTCAATTATTCCTTTATATATAACACTTTTGGTAGCTCCTTAATTAAGTTTATTTATCAAGATTTGCTAATTAATTATGATATATAATGTTTTTAGGGAATTAAGAAGCCATCTTGGTTGGAAGCTCTTTACGTGGAGAAATTCTTTGTTCCATGTTCAATTCATGAAAGTGCAAAGAAGAATGAGAAGAATGTTTGTTGTTTGGATTGTTGCATAAGTATTTGTCCTCATTGTGTGACATCTCATCGTTTCCACAGATTACTTCAAATTAGACGTTATGTATATCATGAAGTTGTTCGACTTGAAGATTTAGAGAACCTTATAGATTGCTCCAATATTCAGGTAGTTATTCAGCAAGAAACTTGCTTTATTTTTATATATGTTTTTAGTTTTATTTGTGATAACCACGGTGTTCGAGCCAGCTTATGCATATCGACTAATTCTACGGGGTACCTTTTGCCTCCCCACCAATGCAAGTATCGGGTAACTCTGTCCAAGGCGAAGCTAGAAGTTCAATTACGGGTTTGGCCGAAACCAATAGCTTTTGCTCAAACAGTGTATTTTTTGTTAAGAAATTCATTTAATATACTAATATTAAGTTTAGAACTCCATTTTTAGCACTTGAAGTCTTCGTGCTAAAATTCAGATCCCATAAAGTTAAAATTCTTGCTCCGCTTCTGAGTCTCTGTCAACTAAAATTTGGATAAATAGGAGAATTACCTAGTATTTTTGTCTTCGTTGGAAGCTTTATTCTACTAGTTTTGCTAACAATATGATGTTCTTGATTGTTGAATTTTCTGATATTTTAGTTTATAATTGTACTAGGCATATACAATAAACAATGCTAAGGTGGTTTTTATCAAGAAAAGAGCTCAGAACAGGCAATTCAAAGGAGGAAATTATTGCACTTCTTGTGATAGGAGTCTTCAAGAACCATACATCCATTGCTCCCTAGGGTGCAAGGTAATTTTCCCTAATCTTAAGAATTTTGTGTTCTCGAGTCTCAACCAAAGGTACTCATATCTACTTAATTATGTTCGTATCATAATTGATTTCCTAACAATATACTTAAATACATGTTATATACATGCAACTACATGAGTAATTAAATAATATAATAGTTAGTAATACGTTAAATTTGTGAAGATTCACAAGCAAAAGGATCAAAAGTGCAAATTTTAGTCAATTAAGTGGTTAAAAGTGCTTAACCAGATATCAAAAGGACCAAAATAAGAATTTGTCCGATTAAAAACACAAAATTACCTTAATGATTTCATGAAATAACTTAAGAATGAGATGTCATAGAATTATAGGATTGAAGCTAAATCATAGGAACAACATATTATTATTTTTTTTCCCCAATTGAGGAGGATCTATAGTGTTTCCACACTTCTCCTCCAGCGTAACTCGAACCCAGGACTTAACGGTTGTGGGTGGAGGTGCTTTACCAACTGAGCAAGCCTCACTTGTCAATATAAACCACGTTTTTATTAATTGTTGGTTGACAACAACTTTGTTTGTCATGATCAGGTAGAGTTTGTGCTAAAGCACAACAAGGACCTTTCTCCATTTTTAAGGAAATGCACGACTCTACAACTTAGTCCAGACTTCTTTATCCCTCAAGACATGGCCGACGATGACATGGCGAACGAGACAGCTCATTCGACAGTCGTGGACAACGACGAGCCATGGGGCTCGTCGTCGGGCTCGGGATCCGAGAACATGAGCTTTCCCTGCACTGAATTTGTAAGGAAAAAGAGAAGTGGGATGCATGTGTGTGGAAGAACAGCTAATAACTATAAGGACATTACAGAGGAGGACATGGCTACTAGTATGAGTAGAAGAAAAGGAATTCCTCAAAGATCTCCATTGTGTTAAGATTTAGTAGTATATTAACTTGGTTTCAAATATTAGTTGTTTTGTCAACCTAAATTTGTTTTAAAATAATATTACTTCTTTTTCTTCAATTCTCCTTATTATTTGAGTAAGTGAAGTTTTAATCGAGTGAGACGTTTAAGAAGAAATAAAGGGTAATTTAGACAACTATCATGCCTATGGCGAGACTCAAGTAATGGGCCGGGAATGATTTCATGGGTCGCAGTTATACTCGAACATGGCGCTTACTTGATGAGTATGGTTAAAAATAAGAAAAAATTACAAGAAAATACATATGACTTTACACCATAACCAAAAATGGCCCATATTTTTAAGTTTTACATGACCTAGCCTACATTGTACATATGTTAAAAGCACTAGCAAATTCAAAATCTGTGTTCTTACAACCATTGTTTCTAAAAACTATAGAATTAAATCTGTGTTCTCACAACCATTGCTTTCACTCTCTCTTCTTCTTGCATCTTCTACATATGCTTCAAAGGGCCATGTATTTTCTGCTTCTCCTCTTGTGTCACCTGCTTGCATGTAAGAAAATTGAAGAGTAGAAGTCCACCATTGAAGACCATTCAAAACTTTGCTTTTGAAAATGGATTTTTTGAATTTGTTAGTTGTTTGGATTGGGTGTTGTTCCAATTGATTGAAAATATCAAAAGGAGTTCAAAATTTAAATTTGAAGTGATTTGGAGTAGATTTGAGCAAGATTTGAGTTAAATTTCAGAAAAGACGCAAGGAAGAAGACGAAGTCAGTTTTTTGTATAATTATGTATAATCTTGTATAATAGTGTATATGAGTGTAGAAACACGGCTTATACACTATTATACACTTTTATACACCTTTATACAAGCGTCTGTAGATGAACTTCTTCCACAATTTTCAATTGCAATTCTTGTTCAAAACCAGTCCAAATTTCCGTTAAATGACTTCAAATTTTATGTACAACCTCCTTATACTATTTCTAACAAGTCTAAATAACACCCACTCCAAATTTCTCACAAAATCAAATTCGGAATTTAAACCCACATATTTAAGCTTGTTAAAAATTTAATTTTCACCACCCAAATGAATTTGGTTTGTTGAACTAATATTTGAGTCACAGTTACTGATTCGAAAATTAATTTAAAAGCTTGAGGAATCTTTTTTAAAAATTAAATAGTAATTTTGAGAACCTATTAAAGTTGGATGTTAAATCCTAGCCTATTATTTTTGAGCTAATTGGCTGTAAATTCAAATATAGGCTATAAAATTAAAAATAGAAGTTCAGTTGTTCTAATGTGCTAGCTACCATAATTTTTGACATTATAATAAACGCTTGATCTAACAATAACATTCTTTATACTTTCTTCTTCGTACCTCATTATTCATTTTTTATTTATTTATTTTCTTGACTCGAAATTAAATTTTGATGTTAATAATTACTTGGTTGGGGTGTTTTGTCTTAATTGCACCACGTGATTCCCTCTTCCTATTTCTTTTTTCTTTTTGGTGATTTTAAATTTTCCAACATCATATAATAGTAGTTGGAATTGTCAATTTGGAATCTTGTGTTGTTTACACCGACCGTTTTATTCAAATAATCGACAGTTTGAGGTTAAATTCTCTGGCACTAGACGTAGTTTAACACTCTGTTTGGATCATTGTTTCCCATCATTTTATAATGTATTGTATTGTATTGTATCGTATCGTATTGTATTGAATCGTTTTATAAATACAACGTTTGGATAGATTGTATTGTTTGCTATTGTTAAATAATACTTTGTTGTTTGGTTTGACTGTATCGTACTGTACTGTAACTGATAAGTTGACTAAAATACCCTCAATTGTTTAAATATTAAATTTATTAAAATTATACATAAAAATAATTTAAAAAAACAAAACAGAAAAAGACAAAACACCTTAAGAAAGCAGAACAAAGGAGCGAGACAGAAGAAGGTAAAACGAAGGAGCACAGCTAATTAGGATTGAGATAAAAGTAAATTAGGAGAAAAAATAAAACAGAACGTGGCAAAACATCTCTTTAACGTTGGTGGCAGAAGTTCTTGAAAAAAATAAAGTAAGTTATAGGTTGAAGATTTGGAGTTAAAATAGAAAAAAGGTAAAGGGTAAATTAGAATTGTGGAGTAATAAGTTAGGGCATAGTTGGAAAGAAAAATAGGAAACAATTCCACCATACTAAATCGGTTGTTTAAAAAAAAGGACTTTTCATTGTTCCGGAACAATAGATTTAACAATACAGTACAACAAATTTTAATGAAATAATCAAAACAAACATTGTTTTAGAATAACGATACAATACGTTACAACAAGAAACAACCATCCAAACAAGCTGTAAGTACTCATTAGCTAGACATACAAGATCTTCCAAAATAGTTAGGCATCAAAATATCACATATATATGAACTCATAAGAAGACAATATATAATTTAATATGTGGTAGTATGTTAGTAATTTTCACTGTTACTGTATATAATTTAAAGTCAAAGAAAATAATATTGTAATCTCAGTGAAAAGCGCGATTAAGGATTTGGGATTTGGGACACACATCATTTCCTTAATTGTTTTCTCCTACTCCTAAAAGGTTTCCAAAATTTAAACCCATACACATTAGGATTCCTATAAAGTTTCTAAATCAACTTCTTATATTAAATATATATAACCCCTTGATTGCCATCTTTCTTCTATAATCTCACTGGCAATCTGACCTAACATTCAAGTCATCACGTACCCTATTATATTAAAAATGCCAATTCTCATCGCTGTTTTCTTCGTGGTGTTCATCATTTTTGTTGCTTTGTTATATTTTAACGAGTTGATAACCTATTCGGGTTTAAATAATGGAGTAACACAACAACGTGAATTAGCAGAAAGTGCTCGTTATGTGACAACAGAAAGAGGTCGGGCAGGTGTTGAAATAGTGATTGATATTCCTGATGAAATTAAAGGCACAAACAGTGACTGTTGTATCTGCTTAGGAGAATTTGATGAACAAGAAGAAGAAGATGATGATGATGATGATATGAGAGAAGTGATACTTGTTGCTTGCTGTCATAGGTTTCATGCTGCTTGTATTACTCCTTGGTTATTAGTACCAAAAAACGAGACATGTCCCTTTTGCCGTACTTATGTTACTGCTCTCGTCACATATGTTCGGCTTCAAGATTTAATCAAGACTAACAATTACTACTATATATGAGAGAGAAGTTATATGTATAATGTATATGAGGATTCATCTTTCCGTTGATATTAATGTCTCTATTTGCTAGGTAGTCACTATATCAACCATTATCTCTTAATTCCAAGGTAGTTGGAATCGACTATATGAATCTTCAACGTCTAGCAATTTCCCTTCATTTAATACCGACCATTTCATTCGAATACACTATATTTGGAGGCTAAATTCTCTAGCTCTAGAGGCAGTTTTGGTACTCATTAACTAGGCAAACAAGATCTTCCAAAACAGCTAGGCATCAAAATATCACGTATGTATGAACTCAATAAGAATCCATGGACAACGGACATATATGTTTCTGTAAGATACGAAGACAACAGTATGAGAACTATCAATGTCATTGATGTACCTAAACTGCTCCTAATTAATGGAAGCATCTAGCTGAACATCAATATAGTGATATATTCATGATCCTGTTAGAAGCTAGAGTAATAAAGTTTCTGAGTTGGGAATTATGCCATTTGCAGATGTATTGTCTATCCAAGAATACCTGCATTGCACGGTGGCAATTCTCGACGCCAGTCCATGATAACCAGAGTAGCTATGCTATGTGCCAGGGCTGCTGCAACGACGAGTACATGGAATATTTGATGGCTGTGTCCAAAAAGGTCAAATGCACCCGGTTTCCATCTCTCTGGAAACCTCGTAACGTAGAAAACTGCTCCAGCAGCATACAAAAGGCCCATGGCGATCTCGTAGACAAGAGCCACGAGTACTTGTGGATGATGAAAGTAGAGGGAAACAGCATGTGCTGCTGGAATCACACCTGAGAAACCCATAGCAAGAAACAGAGCAGCCCTGAATGATCTGAAATGACCAGAGGTGACAGCCGGGGCGAAAAGGGTGATAATGACTAGGATACCAACTATAGTAATGGATGTTAAGTAAAAGAAACGCCAGTATGGTTGACAGGAGAAAGTGTAATATATGGGAGCAAAGAAAGAGCAGATGATCATGATAGAGATTCCAGAGTAGTCGAGACGCCAGAAGAAGAGGGTGAATTTATGCGAGTGGCAAGCAAATAGGTGAGAGACAGAGCTGAAGACCAAACAAACCATAGCCCCTCCCAGGAATACAAACCAAGGCCATATGGCAACTTCATAACCATCTCGATATGCACCGATAAATGATGGGGCTGAGATCTGCCTGGTGTAAGTATCCTGCAAATAAGGAGATGATGCTTAGTATCTTATTTGCAGCTTAACATTTGCATAAACACAAACAGAATTTTCCAAAAATTTTATAAAGGTAAAGATACATCACTTCTTTCCCCTCAATACTGTTATATTGGACATTCTGCTTTTATAGCAAAATGTTAGAACCATATGCAGTATTAGTAGGTTTGGCAACAAACTACATTATTTCGTGCACGAACCGTGTTTAGTGTCCCAGAAAAAGAGTCTCCTTTATGATCTCACCATTGATATTGAACAGAACAACTCTGTTTACTAGTCTAGCATATCGGATTCATAAAGCAGCTAGCTAAGAAAGTTACAGTTCATTCAAGTTCATGAAACTTTTTACATTGAATCAAATTTTTTAGAAAAAAAATCTTTTTGACAATGGTCAGATTCCTTTCCATGTTTTAGGAAAGAATGGTATCTGACTCCTCATGACTCTCTTAACTGAAACTGAGACACTCTTTTGTAAGTTGTAACTACCTATCACATCAAGAATCCAAAGTAAGTTAATATGAGACTTCATTTGATCTGGCATTCAACACTGTTATAGGAACTTAAGTTGGTAAAACAACACAACTAACCAGCCTAGTTGAAATCAAAGATCTATATGGCAGAACCAAAATTAAGGAAATGCCTCTCAATCATTCGAAGGGAAGCCTTGGAGCAATGGTAAAGTTGTTCCACGTGACCTATAGGTCACGGATTTGGGCCATGGAATCAGTCATCAGGGTAGGCCGCTTACATCACATCCCTTGGTGTGCGACCCTTTCCGGACCTTGGTGAACGCAGAATACTTCGTGTACCGGACTGCATCTCAATCATTCCTTAGTTTTTTTTTTTAATTATCTTTCTCCTTTTAGAATTTAATTAAAAGAATGGTTTGCAACTCCAACCATACTACTCCTAGTTGACAAACCAAATAAAGTCACTCCATAAATATTTTACCTATTAATCAGGTAAAAAACATCGGCTTTGGAAATGGTGTTAAGGTACTACTATATGCTTCTACCTTGTCACCATTCCCAATGACCTGATTTTGCTAACTCTTTAGTCAAACTATATGGACCCTCAATCAGTCCTTGATTGTCGCAGTGTCAGTATTAGAATAAATTAAAGCAAGATATTGTTCGATTTAATTGAGGATTAAAAATTCCAAAATTTTCACCCATCTTTTATTTAAGAGCAATACAAAATTTAACTAAACGAATTATAGCCTTCTTTCCTCGTTTCAAGACTAAATCTGAAAATTCCACGAAAGAGATAAACAAAAAAAAATAAAAAAATGAAAATCGCATAGTTGAGATACAGCTAATTCCTAAATCCACCACATAAAAACTTTAAATACGATAAATAAAAATCGACACAATTTATAACAAACTTTTTTCGCCAAAAAAAAGAAAAAAGAAAAAAGAAGAAGGTTGTTCAAACGGGCCCAGGTGTCGAATAAAAATTTATTGCGTATCTCAGCTCTATTTCCTAAAATTTGTAAAATTAGGGACCCACCACAAAACCGACCTTTTCGCTAAGTGTTGTCATCTCAAGTCTTTTCACTGTCTTTTACACTAAAAAAATCAGATTTAATAAAAAAAAGAAAGTAACGGCAAAAACTCACCGGAAAAGAATCAGCTGACCCATTTCTCTTCATTGTCATCCACCGTCCCTCTCCCGCCGGTCTGTTTAGAATAGAATACTAATATTTTTACCAATGTATCAAATGACAAAAAAGGACATGAAAGAAGATCAAATTTGCGAAAACGAACCTGGAGAAACCAGTAAGCAAATTCTCTATTGTCGTCTTCTCCGTCAAGGTCATTACCGTCAAAATCACAAATACCAGAAATCCTACCAAATGCCTATTAAAATTTATAAAAATAAGATTAATATAACTAGAAAATGAATGAAATTCAAATGAAATTGAAGTGAGAATTTTGAATTACATACGTCCAAATATTGAGAGTTTCATTGTGTAAGGAGAAGAGACTGAGAGCGGTATCCTTAAGAGGCCATTCACAGCGGTAATAGTCTCTGATAAACTCGTTATCTTTAAGATACGCCGGTAATTCTTCGTATTTCACCAATTTACGCTTCAATTTCTTATTATTAGTCTTCATTTCGGCTGATTCAGTATGCTCTATGTTTCTGATTTTCAAGCTCTTCTTCTTAGTTCCTCTGCTTTTCATGTTATGAGATTCCGGCGAAGTTTCGCCGGAAAATTGCAGTTGCTCTCTTATCGACGGCGATCTCAAGAAAGGTTGATTGCTTGTTTCTTGTGATTTCTAACTAACTGTTAGCAACGAGCTGGAAATTTGATGGACGTGACTTCCACTCAACAACTTTTCTACTTATATCAACTGACAGTTGTAACAATAGTTGATTCTTTATAGTAGTAATTGTATTTACTTTTTTAGGCCTTTGAGATCACATACAAGAGAGCAAACATAATAAAAATGAACAAATACGTAGTAGTATTGAATAAAATATCATGTACTCCCTCCGTCGCATTTTAAATGTCGTTTTAGCTCAAATGATTATAGTCAGACCTCTCTATAAAAATATCCTTATATAATAGTCATTCACTATAAAATACCAGTTATTCTCGGAACCCAATATTATATTATGTTATAATATATGTCCTCTATAATAACACTTCATTATAGCAGCCAACAAAATTTCGAAACAAATGACGTTATTATAGAGAGATTTGATTGTATCACTTAAAAAATTTAAGACTAACTTAGCTAATTGTTTTCAACTATGTCTTAGAGCCGGTTTGGAAAGACACAAGGGAACTGAATTTAATAGAGATAACTAAGTAAATTATGTCTCAAAAAGCATTTATTAGGAATAACTAAGTAAATTATATCTTGTATTTTTGGGCGTGAAAAGAGCTAAAGTGACCATTAAAATAGAATCGAGGGAGTGTCTTTTGCTATTTTTAATCTAAAAAAGTTTCAGTATAAGGTATAAAGAAGATAAAAATGATATAAGTGATAAAATATGATAATGTCGTTTTAAATGTTTTCATCATGTTCTATATGGATCTCTACATACAATTGAATTGATGAAAGAAATATTTTTATATAAGTGCCAACTAATCGAGATTAAATGCTTAGTGATGCTGTTAACCTTACATTAGGTCCAGTGTTTATTAAAGTACTAGTTTTTCCAGTGGTGTTAGACATTTGTATATGTTAATGAGAAAATTTAAAGAACATTGCGCTAGAAAACTTAAATTATTAAAAATTAGGGCGAAACACATTATTGAAAGATTCATATTAGCTTAGTTACCAAAAAAAAAAAAAAAAAAGAAAAAAAAGGATTCATGTTAGCTTATGCCAATTAGCTTAAACTGAGTTTAGACGCTGTCTGAATCAGTTGATTAAAAGTAGTTCACGAGCATCAAATATGAAAAATAATTTTTTTTAAGTGTTAGAAACTAATTTTATAAATAAATAGATACGTATTTAAATAAAAGTAGTGCAATAAATAATAAACAAAGTATGCTACTGATAGTGCTTGTCCATTTTGATGTCTACATTGATTATCTCACCAAAATGATTAGTTTATCAACTTAAAACTTTTCAATAAGACATGCATCTTTTCTTTTAATTTCGAGTAGGGGTGCTTATCAGACGGATCACGCGGATACTTACGTGTAACGATTCGGCTTATCAGTTATCGATTTATAAATGTAGTAATCAACTAGCCAACCAATGAGATATCAGGCGGATTGATATCGAATTATCAATTATTGGAAGGTTATTGAGGGATGAGAGGAATAAACCTAGATAGTCCCTTATGTATGGGTATAGGACTATTTTTGTCCCTTATTTATATTACTAAACATAAAATATCCTTTAACTTTGTAAAAGTGAATAGGTTTGGTCTAACCGTTAACTGGGTTCCCAAAGCTAACGGAAAAAGATAAAAACTAACGGCAACTGTTCACAGTTCACTCCATAAGACCATAACTATCACATTTCCACTGTTTCAATTGTCCCTTCTTTCACTGACGCCGCTGAAGAATCGTCATTTCACAACCATTTCTCAACACAGAAAAGCCATCTGAGAAACAAATTCCATCACTCATACAGAAATTAAAAGCTTCTCGGTCTCAATTCCAGCAGAGAACAGCACGGCTGAAATAGAGGTTTCAGTTTCACTCTCTGTTCAAAGTAGCTCGTTGATCTTCCGATTCAATTTTTTCGAATTACCTTTTGAACTGATGTGATAGTATTAGACTCGAAGGTTATTGTTAATCAAATCTGAAAGAATATTTTCAGCTGGTCCATTCTTCTCTTTTACTCTGATTTTTCAATGTTCTTCTTTGTCGTCCAAAGCATGATACTAGCTCATCTCAGATTGACTTAGATCCTTAGTTTCCATATCTTTTTTCTAGTGAATCTTGTAGTCATTTTTTGTGGGGAAAGGGAGTCAGCGGAGTGGGACAGTGGATGAGCACAGGGGACGATGGGACTAATTTGGGGGAAGAAGGAGAATAGAATATAACTGGGTTACAAAAGTTACAGTCCTTTAACCTAAGTTGAGGCTTTCCCGTTAGTTTTAGGAACCCAATTAATGGTTAGACCAAACATATTCACTTTTACAAAGTTAAAGGATATTTTATGTTTAGTAATATAAATAAGGGACGAAAATACTCCTATACCCATACATAAGGGACTATCTAGGTTTATTCCTCATAAAAAAGAAGTTGAGAACTAGAGATACGAGGAATTTAGGTCCAAATTTGTTTATATAATATTTTATAATCCATGTTATATGCAATATCCAATACAAGGGAGAATAGATATGTGCTATGGATAAAAAAATATTGACAACTCAATTGAAAGACATAATATAATCTACGGGGAAAACAAGTTAGTTAACTAATGCACAAACAAATTTCCTTCTTATCTCATAGAAAAATCCATGTGATATGCAATTAATGTCTGACCAAATTTAGACTTTGAAGAGCTGACTGCTGAGGGAGACGACTGCTGCCAGTGTTGAATTAGAAATTAGGAATTTAGGGTTTCACGAGGTACTTTATATACATAAGGTAAAAGTATAAATATAAAAGTTCTTAAGGAGTTAATAATTTATCCGATAAGAAAATTGAGTAATCCGCCCCAAAATTGTTAAGCCGTATATTATAAAATTTCAATTTGTTTACCAACCATTACCCCGATAACCCGATATCAATAAGTCAATTTTATGGTTTGATTAAAGATTATGGTTCGATTTTTGAACCGCGCCCCCTAATTTCGAATTCTCATTATTAGTGTGTTACACCCCGTAAGTTTAACAATCATGATACCAATATATATATATGGACATATGGTTTTTGAGTGTTTTTATATAAATTTATAATCGTATCGATAAATCTTTTGTTGTATATAACTTGAATGATACTAAGTTTACATCAATTTCAAACAAAATTAAACTAAAGTCTGATCCTGAACCTAAAGTTCCCAAACAGAGAAAAGCAAAGCTCATGATATCTCCCACCTTAATAATTTTTCCCTTCCTTGCTTGCCTTTCCCCTCCTTTTTGGCCTTTTCTTTCTTTTCGCAATCAAAATATGTTGAATGTCAGAAAATCTACTTGATGATCTGAAAATAATTACTCACCTTCCAATTTATATGATTTTTTTTTTTTATTTTGAGACGTCCAAAATATTTAGTATCATTCAACTTTCATACATTATTCACTGCCTTCAAAAAATTTAAATTATTAAGATATCCAAATTTATAACTTTGATGTGATATTATCTTTGTCAACTTAACTTCAACAATTTGGTATTTACTTCAGATGTGATCACTGCTATAATATATATTATAAGCTAAATTTAAATCTAAAACATTTTTTTTGTTCAAATCACCGTCATATAAGACAGAATGAGCTACATGTATATAAAAAAAAGATAGTTTGGAAAATATGATTTTATATAGTTATTAATATTACTACTTTTATATATGTTTTAAATTATTCACATAACCTTAGAAAGTTAATGAGATTTTCTTTATTGTAAAGAGAAATTATTTTTTCACAAGAAAAGAAAGTTATCATTTTACCATTTTAAGAACTAAGTGTACGAAAAGTTGTACTCTATATGAGATTAGGAAAATTAAAAGTTAAGAAAACATATGTATTTTTACATTGATATTTTAATGAAATAATAGTGTATGCATTAATTTTATATGGTACCATATGACCATGATATTAGGGTAAAAAATGTATTAAAAGTGAGTAGCATATTAAGTAATTTAAGATAATTTTTAATTATGTGAATAATTGGTTAATTATTAAATTAATGGGGAAGTAACAAGTTAATTAAGGAAATAAATGAATAATGTTTGGACAAGCTAATCTTCCCCAAAACGTGGCAGCAAGGTGGAAGGGCTCAAAACACAATTGTATGACTCTTGAACCATTTTAAAAGGTGGCACATTTAAAACCTTTACCATGTATTTCTACATGGATTATGCTCTATTATTGAGAACAAGAAATGCTTGAAAACGGAGTGGTCATTTTTCTGAGAAGGGACGAGTAAGTAGTTTTACAATTACACCAACTGCATTGGCTCTTAAGCTCCTTGCTGGTGATGTACGGCTGCAAATTCCCTTTCAGTATGGTTGTAATTAATCCTGGAACTTCATTGTCTTGATATCCTCCCTCTTCTAGCAGTGGTACAAACCGAGATGAGGAGTTTTCGGATGAGTTCATATAATAAAGTAAGTGAAAGCTCTCAAGTAAGTTTGCTTTCACTACACTTGTAAAATGCTTATAATAGTTTAATTCTAGGTATTCAGCTCCACTTGTGAATCAGTAGGTGTACTTTGAGTTTATTTTGCTATAATTCATTAGAACATATTTAAGAAGCTTTGTTTCATTAGATGGAAAAACTACAATATGTGTGTTACACCCCAACTAAAGTTTAGAGAGTATCTTTAAAGGCTGCTTGCTTTTCCCGTTTGGAGCAAACAGAGGTAGAAGATTTGGGTATATGGATTTTTCCCTACTTCAGGTATGTAAATGAGGTATGTTAAGGCTAATCCTTCCTTCTTTTGGCATGATCCAGACAACTATACGTAAACGTAATGTTATTTCATAAGTGTTTCTACTCTTAGTAGTTAAGAATGTCTATGTTAGTTATTCCTGTAAAATGATATTAATCAGAGGTATAATGGTCTTTTGACGTTCCGAGAAGTTTTATTTACGTACTTCTCATGCATTGCATTCATTTACATGTGCATTTACCCATGACTCAGACTCAGACGGCGTTATATATATATATATATATATATATATATATATATATATATATATATATATATATATATATATATATATATACGAGAAAAAGGTTAAGACGTTATATACGCA